TATGGTACAACCCCATAGGGCTGTCCCTTGTAGTTTTTTTCTCAGTGTGCCGCAGCTGTGCCAAGCAAGGAGCTGCTAAGCCAGTATTTTTCTGTTTTGTACCCACACACTTACAATCAACACAAAAGAAATACATGCGGTGTAAGCGACAGCTGTAAAATATGCAATACAGCCGCAAAGTTCGCATGTGTTGTTCAAGTTTGTTATGGGCCATAAATTTATAGACCAGTTAAGAGGGTACTGTCAAATTTGTGACCCATAGACCTTTTAAACGCTAAATCGTCTTCCTCTATCCAGCACGCATGGATGAATCGACGGTTTGTTTTCCTACTAATCTGTTTTCCTCTTGCTCGCACTCGTTCGATATAAATGATGCAGTAGTGTGCTCTGATTAAATGTCAAAAAGCTCTATAGTGTAAACATTTGATGTCACTCCCGTGGTGCCAAGATTGCTGTCACTGGACTGCCTTGGTTTGCTTGTGATTAATTTGCCTTGACACTAGTCCCGAAGTGACGTTTTTTCACACACATTTTGACAGTTCCTTATGGGGTTTTGCGTTGGAGTGAGAGAATAAGAAAACGTCCGCATAGACTGACAGTTACATATAAGATTTCTTCATAGGAGTAAAGAGTTACAGAGCTCTCGTCAACGCCAATGGCATGTTTGGCAATGCGGTTATTTGACAGTTTAAATGTTTTGTTTTGAAGTGGAATCCGAACCAAGATGACGATCCAAAGGCAACCCAGCTGGACAAGATGATTCCGCACTGGCAGCATTCGACCGAGTTCCTCCGACCGCTGCAGCTGCTTAGCAAAAACCGTATCTGTGAAGGCCCAAGCGCAATGACAACGGAAGCGGAAAAACTCGATCTGAGGAAGCCTACTTGTCGGATTGAAAACTAGTTAGAACCAAATCGGCTTCGGTTATACCATAAAGGTAACTCTAAGACTAGTAGATCCCGAAGAAACGTGCTCAACTTTTTGGCTCAGCTCTGGTACTTTCTTCGGTCCCAAGCTAATCGATTCACCCCTCGAAACATAGGAAAATCCACTAACCCCTCATTTTATCTGTCAAATTTTCATAGCGAATCAAAACAAACATTAGGTAGCACTAGAATTTCGACTAGAATGGGGACGTTAATCGATTTGCTTGGGACTGAGCCAATTTAAAATCGATAGTTTCGTATAGATTGTTGGTACAACGATAGTACAACCAACAATCAATACGAAACTAACGATTTTAAATTGGCTCACCACTTTAGTAGCCTATTGGTCCCAAGCAAACGATTAACGTACCCTATTCTAGTTGAAATTCTATTACTACACGATGTTTGTTTTGATTCGCTATGAAAGTTTGACAGATAACATCAGGGGTGTGTGGATTCATGCAGAACATGCAGGGGTGAGTGAAATAGCTTGGGACTGCTTGGGACCGTTGTTCTGGTACTGAGTGAGCCAAAAATAATAATGAATTTCTTCGGGACCCAGTGGTCTTAGAGTTACCTCTATGGTACAACCAACCGGTGGAAACTAACAATTTTAAGGTGATACTCTAAGGAAACCTTAGCGTGAAACTTTAAAGGCACAAATGTCAGCTTCTATAAAACATACAAATTTGAAGTTGCTACTCCTTGTTTGCTGTGCTACTACAAACAGAGAGTAGCAATTTCAAATTTATGTTTTGTGGAAGCTGAAATTTGTGCCTTTGAAGTTTCACGCTAAGGCTTCCTTACACGGAAAAACGAGTTTATGCATTGATGACTATTTTTTTAACCACTTTTGGGAGCTTGTTCGAGCTGTCATAGAGTGGTTGAAATTTATAGCAAAAAAGTGTATAGAATTTAGACATTTCCAGAGAAAACCATTTTTCAACACAAGTGTTTAAATTTTATTCGCTATTGGTTGAAAAAAAACTTGACAACAATCATTTTTAGAAAACGCGGCAGCCATCATTGATCAACTTTTTCGCAGGTAGATATATTGTTTATAGTATATTAGATACAATTTAATAGTAATTTATCATTCTCTTTTCATTTCCAGAGTTCGATGAGAACTACCAGAAGAAGCCATCAACGTCGCCAGCAGTGGGAATCAGGAATTGCTACTTCCTTCGCAATCGAGTGGCGGACCGAAAATGAAGTTTTTTTTTCCGTTTCCGACTTTGGAGAGATGGAAACAACTTTCAATCACTAAAATGACCTTTCCCAACATGATTTCCGGTTCATTACAGTCTTTCCCAAGCAGTAAGTACTACTGTAAATATTCTTCTTGCCATGGTATTAACCCCACAATGCTTCGCTTATAGACTGAATCGGACTAAATCGTCCTCCTTCCAGCAGGCTGAAACGGCTTTACAACATCATCGACATGGCAAGGTATCATCGCGGATGGACCACTGGCGGAGCACCGACCGATACAATTAACAAAACTTCGTCTACACCCACTGCGGGTTTGGGTGACTGCGGGATCATCTGTGATACAGAGCATGATCTATTTCATCGATATACTGCAGAACGTCGTGGCGCAAATAGTTCCGGCCAATGGAAATCATGTGTAAGTATTGCCGTATGCCCACGATCATCAGATTTTAATAATAATTGTGCACCTGATGACTGTGTTTATTGATCAAGAAATACACATAACTTTTTATTGGTTTTTTATTTTATTGCTATCATAATAAATTATTTTGAAAATATGAGAAATCAACCATTTAAAATCCTTCCGGTGTATAAAATTTAACCACTTTTGAGAAAAACGTCTTTATTCATTAATGATTAAAATTTAATCACTTTCGAGAAAAACGCGTTTATTCATCCGATGAGTAAACAGCGTTTATTCATTTTATGAATATGTGCGGGTTTTCTCGAAACTGTTTAAAATTTAAACATTAATGCATACTTTTTTCTTAGCGTGTAGAGTATCACCTTATTGGCTCACTACTTGACTAGCCTATTGGTCCCAAGCAAATCGATTACGTACCCCATTCTAGTCGAAATTCTAGTACTACGCAATGTTTGTTTTGATTCGCTATGAAAGTTTGGCAGATAAAATGAGGGGTTAGTGGATTTTCCTATGTTTCGAGGGGTGAATCGATTAGCTTGGGACCGAAGAGAGTACCAGCGCTGAGCCAAAAAGTTTCATTAGTGTAGTTGAGTCGATCATCCCTGTGTCCTACGATTTTCGGAATGCAGTTGAAATCATCGATAATTCCAGGTCCGGATGGCATTCCGACAGCTTTTTTGAAGAGGCATATTGAACACCTCCTCACTCCTATTCGGTATGTGTTTGACTTGTCACCGACTAGGGGAGTGTTTCCGTCCGTATGGGAAACTGCCGTTATGTTTCCCATATATGTGAAAAGCAATCTGAAAGACGTTAACAACCATCTTGGAATCTCTGCATTATGTGCTCTCTAAACTGTTTGAGTGTGTTGATGAATCCGCTGCTGACAAGCAACAGCTGAGTGATGATCAACATGGATTTATCTCAGGTAGGTCAACCACCACTAATCTTTTGTGCCTTACGTTATACGTTACTGATCCACACCGATGTATCTGAGGCTTTTGATAAAATCAACCACGCCATAACGATAGCAAAATTGAATAGACTCGGCGTTAGTGGTGGCAAGTTGACGGTTTCAGTTGGTGGATTCCAATCTAACGAGTTTTTGGTCACATCTGGAATTCCTCAAGATAGTCATCTGGTGCCCTTGATAGTTCTCATTTACTTTAACGATATTAACCACGTACGTTCCTCGGCTATCCTACGCCGATGATCTTAAGATTTACCTACGGATCTAATCTATCGCTGATGCTTTGCGTGTCGCCAAGGATTTTACCAGTGTGTACTGTTTAAAGTCGTTGTACTGCTCGAATACTGCTTTGGGATCCGCACTATCAGAATGGTTCGGAGAAGATTGAATCTGTTCAACGCCGCTTCATTCGTTTTGCTCTCCGTCGGCTTCCTTGGTGAGATCCGTTCCGGCTACCGAGTTACAGAAGTCTATGTAAGTCTTCAGTCGCGCAGGAACATCGCTAGGGCTATGGTTGTAGCGGACACGTTGCAGGAAATAATCGAAAGTTTTTTTTTTTTGTATGGAAAATCCGGGTCGAACGAAAACGAGAATATGGTGCTCAATGCCCCGTAACGTGGGTAGATCACCTTTTCGTGGTACGTTACGGGATGTAAGATCTACCACCGATTCCTAGTCTTGACTACTTCAAACTAGGGGAACAGGATTTTACAGTAATCAAAGGAACACATCTTAGTCCTTGTTACTTTTTATGCCTTGTTGATAGTGATAAGTCCTCGGGTTGCGTGGACCGAGGATGATCTTGAAACAAGGAAAAAATGAGTTAGTTAGTCTTCACCTATGTGATTCCTAATCTTCTATTCGTTGTTTCCTAGTTTGAAGTGGTTAAGACTAGGGTTCTGATGCATGGTCATTATCGGTGTCATGTCTTGTTTTTTTTGCTAAGGAATCCAATTTTGACTGACAAAGGGGCGCGCCTTTGGAGGGTGTTTCAACACTCCGAAGGGTATAAATAGCGGGACCTTTCAATTAGAATCGATTCCTTGCGATAAAGGCAAGAATGACAACTGTATCAAAACCGAATACTTCATCATTTCTCAATAGTGATGGAGTAATACGACATGCACTAAACTAAGGATACGGGATATACTACAATAGATCAAATTACTGGTCGCAGTGGTTTTATGTCCCGAACAGAGGAAAAAAAAAAAAAAAATGGTGCTCAATGGTAAATTATGAGAGAATTTGAAAGGTTATTTTAAACTGCTCGAATAAGTCTATAAATGGATCACATCATTCGAGCTGATTAAAAATAATGTTTGCTACCACTCAAAGATTGCCGTGGAACAATATTTGAAAAAAAAAATCCTTTAGAACTTTCCTAAAATCACTGGCAGAACTGCTCGACACTATGATTAATTAGTACCAACTGATGCGTTGCGTTACTGAATCTAATTTGGACTCGTACCTGAAAATCCTTCTCCTGCAGCAGCTGTTCGCGCCAGTGCAGCAAAAACGCCGCACACACGTACAGCTGGAACACGGCGAAACCGTCCGATTCGGCCAGATAGGTGTCCCACAGCCGGATCGTACAGTACAGTGGCAGTTCACGGGTTAGCAAGTTGTTCATCCAACGGAAGGAAAACTGCAGATAGTCGACGCCGTGCGCCTGCAGGTGCCGATGGAGGGTTCCTGGTGGGAGCAAACATTGCGGAATAAGTTAATTCAGTCTATCCGTCGCGGAAGATCGCCGATTACCGTCAATTCGTTGAATGAGTTCCTTCAGTTGGTTCACCTTCTCCTGGATGCCGAGCTGGGCAAAGATGTAGTTGTCCTGAATGCAGTCGAGAAACTTGGACAAACACCAGAAAGCGTCCGCTTCGATGATGTCCCGCTGTTCCAGCGATAGGGCACCCAATTGGCACTGCTCAAGATCCTTTTCTGGAAGTTTTCGAAAAAAAAACAGTTATTGATGACTAAAGCTGTAGCAAGCTTACAAAACTTACCTGCCCCGACGGATTCCTGCAGAAACACAATAAAGAACGGCGTTACCAGGTCGTTAATCCCCTGCACATAGCCGGAAGCGGGATGCCGGATGGCCCAAATAAACAGAATCCGTTCGAACATTTCCTGTACTAGGTTCTGCTGGAACAGAGACACGTGTGGATTCATCCGGGGCACGTCGATGTGGATCTGTCGGTACGTGTCCTGTTGGGTCTCGTCCCGGTTATCCACGTGGAAGTATTGCTGCACAAGCTTCTTGTAGTCGGCTCGCTTTCGCTCTAGAACGGTATTTCTTCGTTCCAAACTCGTCGGTAGATATCCGGACAGAAGTCGCCACGTTACGGCGCGCATCCTTCGAGGAATTCCGGACCAGCTGAGTTCCTTCAGGGCGATCAGATTCAATAGCGGTGCCTCCAGAATATTCGTAAACTTTTCGTACTTGGATTCGCACTCGACGTCCTTGGACGCCACATTGGACGATAGCTTTAGCAACTGCGGACGGCCTGGATATGCATGAAACCTCTGTCGGTAACTGCAATAAAAAAAAAAACGCGAAATTCCTTTAAAAAAAAGCCTTCATCGGAAACCGACCTCAACCAACTCTTACCGATTTTCGTTGACATGATTCAGCGCTTCGTAGTTCTGATGCTGCTGATCCGAAGTCTTCTCGTCTTCATCATCCCTCTCGATACTCCTATCAATCTTCAGTCCATCCAAACTTTCCACCACGGTCACCGTTGTCCCCCCACCGGCCCCCATCGCAGCACCGCCTCTATGAACACTCACCTCCACCGCCGCCGTTGCCATCCTTCCCCGTTCGCCACCACTCCTGTGAGTTTTGATAACATTCAACGCCGCCGACTGGGAGACCTTTTTCGATATCCGAGCCGATGTATCGACCGTACCGGAAATGATGCAGAATTCGTCGTCCCCCAGATCCCAGGCATCACTCACCGATTCCTGGTAGTCCTGAAACGAATTGCTCGAACTGGGCCCACCTGGACCGCTGCCACCCCGAACCGCCCCTCCCGGACCCATCCTCGAGGCGGCCGTCGGACGACCCGGTATCCTGCCGGAGTTGTTCTTCCAGAAGGACGAACCGGCATCGCTGCTGCTGCTACTACTCATCACTTTCTGGTTTCGTTGAACCCCCCGGGCACGAGTGAGTAGAATATCAATGAAGGCAGAATTGCTGAGGTGCCTCTGTCTGGTCTGCCTGCCTGCACGCACCCTAATTAGCTGACGACGATGATGAGGCTGCGACGAGGTGAATTTTTATTGTTGATCATCCTTTCCTTGGGCAGCGCGGGTGGACGGCTGTTGCGACCGGGAATCGGTCTCCGCTGTGATCAGGACTTTAGCCGGCCAATGTTTTCGAGCTCAGATTGTGGAGATCTCGGCTATTTCAATGCTTATTTGGCGATTGAAAATTGGTAAATATTGGAACTCAGTTCGTGCAAGTCGAAAAACTCTAATAAAATTTTCTTCCTCTATTTTTTGACACATACACATTACACGCCGAGGGTGACAGATTCAAACAGGAGACGAAATTTACCTTGGTTGAGTAAAAAAAAAAACACTCAGCTAAATAAATGCACAGTAAAAATCAACGGTATTACAGTATCCTCCCGCTAATCCGACGCCTCGATAATCTGGAAAATGGCGGATTAAAAAGTATAAACATTGATAAACATGCGTTTGAATACATTGCGTTGTAAGCTTGCTGTCTGTTTGTTTTGATTTTTTAATATTGTTTTTTCAAGGTTTTTGTTTAGTAATTTCGGCGAGAAATACCATAAACGAATGATAACCCAATAGAATGATAGGTAAAATACAACATTGTCCAATCCTATTGAGTTTTCATTAGTTTCAATTAGATAGCTGAAGAAAAGACCTAATAAGTTAACTATGCAGCTTTTAGTTGTTTCGTTACTGTTTCGGAAGTTTGGATAAATCCATTCCTCCGGTTCTAATCTGGCTAACCTAGAATCTAGATGCAATAGTTTTCTTCGCAGGAACCTCCAGATATCTCTGACATGTTGTCAACGGAATAGTTTGTGTATCGTGTGTCGTGCTCGCGTCGCTTGCTCGCCATCTTCAAACGTCCGTAGTTTTCGAACATAACCAACTGAAAAATCTTACATGAACAGTTCTACCTTGATGAGTTCTCTTTTCGTGATTCTCTCGCTATCTCCCTCTGCCTACAAGATTTTCGTGCGGGGCTCTCACACACTATCGCAGCACAAGAATCTCCTGTTCTCTTTTCCACGGTATCGACAATTGATTCTCTCCGGCTTTCTTTCTCACCCACAACCTATTCTTCCAATTCCATTTTTGAGTCCGAAGTTTCTGAATTCTCATTTTATTCATATAATTCTGATATACACTCTAACCACTACATCGTGGTTTCTAGTTCTCCAGGACATGATTCACAATAGGGGTTATCTCCTACACCTCGTTGAAACAGCAACTCTTTATGCTTTATATTTTTGTGCATTACCACAAACCAATTTGAGGGCTGCGATGATATTAGAACTTTGTTGTGAAGATATTTGAAAACAGTTTTCTAGTCGCGTTGTACAGCTGATACAAATCCAGGATCTGATTTCAGCGTCAGAAAGTGAAGATATAATCCTTGGAATGATATGGTGTTGATCAATTGATCCGGTAAGTGAGACAGTTCCTCCTTCAGTATAGTTATGTGGTTGAAAATTGCTGGAATTGTAGTGTTTGGATTCCCCAGGAAGCTGCTCAATAGTGGAAGTTGCTGTGCGAAGTTCGTCATCCGATTAACAAGCAGAGTTTCCACTTTTGTTTTTGGACAATGTAGGTTTAGACCACTTCTAGATTTTGGGATAATTAGATTTGCAAATGCTATTCTTTCCAAAGATTGACCGTACCAACTGAACTTCCCGATATGTGCCTTTATTTTCGTAGCAAGGTTACGAATATGCATTTACCTCAATACCCTTAAAGAACCCAATTCACTCGGTCCGTGGCTTGCTTGTCTCCAATTTCTTGACCGTCCCACACTTCCAAGATCCTGCTCCACTTGGTCTAACCACCTTGCTCACTGTGCTCCTCTTCGTCTTGTACCGGCCGAATTCGAGGCAAACACAATTTTTGCGGGATTGTTGTCCGGCATTCTTAAAACGTGTCCCGCCCATCGTACCCGTCCAGATTTCGCAACTTTCTGGATATAGGGTTTGCCATAGAGTTGCGCCAGCTCGTGGTTCACCCTACGCCTCCATACACCGTTTTCACATACCCCGCCAAAGATGGTCCTAAGCACTCGTCGTTCGAAAACACCCAGTGCTTGCAGGTCTTCCACGAGCATCGTCCACGTCTCGTGCCCGTAGAGAACTACCGGTCTTATCAGCGTCTTGTACATGGTACGTTTAGTACGAAGGTGAAGTTTAGCCTGACCTCAGGGTCTTGTGGAGATCGTCCGGCAATAATACGCCGACGAATTTCTCTGCTGCAGTTGCTATCTGACGTCATCAACGATCCGAGGTACACAAATTCATCCACCACCTCGAACTCATCTCCGTCGATTGTCACGCTTCTGCCTATGAGAGCCCTATCCCGCTCAGTTCCTCCAGCTAACAGATACTTTGTCTTCGACGTATTCACCTTTAATCTCGCCTTTAATCCAACCTTCTCTGCTTCACGTTTCAGCCTGGTGTACTGCTCCGCCACGGCCTAAAACGTTCTTCCGACAATGTCCACGTCGTCAGCAGATGAATTGGCTGGACTTATTGAAGATCGTGCCCCGCACGTTTCATAACACCTTTTAGCGCAATGTTGAACAGGAGGCAGGAAAGACCATCGCCTTGTCGAAGTCCTGTGCGAGTTGATAATGGTTATTAACAACCCATTATTTCTAAGGTCCACTTCCAAAAAACCATAATATATAAGGTTAAAACTTTTTCACACAAACTTTCATGTAAAGTTCCATAACCATTTCAGTTAAACCATAGAGGTAACTTTAAGACTAGTAGGTCCCGAAGGAACGTGCTCAACGTTTTGGCTCAGCTCTGGTACTCTGTTCGGTCCCAAGCTAATCGATTCACCCCTCGAAACATAGGAAAATCCAGTAACCCCTCATTTTAGCTGTCAAACTTTAATAGCGAATCAAAACAAACATAGTGTGGTACTGGAATTTATACTAGAGTGGGGTACGTTAGTCGATTTGCTTGGGACCAATAGGCTAGTCAAGCAGTGAGCCAATTTATAATTGCTAGTTTCGTATTGATTGTTGGTTAAACTTTAGTAGGGATTATAAACAATGTTTAACCATTTTCGGTAAGGTTAAGTTATGGTTCGCGTTCATGCGGGATGTCACACCAACCGGTCAGCACTCGTGTTTATTTCAGTTACCATGGGGACGTAATTAGTGATTAGCCGCAGTCCCTTTCAAATTGTCGCATTATTTATGAACAACCCGAGGGGGAAGACGGTTTTCATTTGAGTACATCTCAAATGCTCTTTTACTTAGAGTTGCTCAGAGCTACTCTGGTTTGCTCTGGGATCTGATCTAAATTGCGACGAAAACAGAATTAGTTTGGCATATAGACATTGAAATCTGACCATGCAAATGTTAGTTCGGATGCAATATTTGAGGTTCATGGAATCCCTTCACTTCGCGTTTTCACTGGTACTGGCCATCCAGAAGTCATACAGGTGGGCAAATTTAATGAAATGCTTGCCTCTCTGCAGCAGACATGTAGATTAACTTTGAACTTTGCCCATTAAGGCTCTGAACCATTTGGTGGATTATTTTAACTTTTGGTTAAAATTTGACAGATGAAAAGTTATTGATTGACCCTGCTATCCGAGCTTGGTTACTTTTGACAGACAAGAAGTTAAATTTTGACAACTTTGGCTGAGTTCTTCTCGAAAACCGGTCGATCGACAGCACAGGGATTTTCGAACATAGAAAATAACTTTCGAAGTGTCACTTTTAACCATGAGTTAAATTTAATTCGGCAAATGGTTCACAGCCTAAGTAGATCACCAGATGTGTGCCCGTGAAATTGCGAAGTGGTTAAACCAAATTGTGTGGAAAATGGATTCCGTCATTAGTGTCCTTACTTAATGGAAATGATCTCTTTTTCTACTAGTTTTTCCCTTGTTCCTCCCACTCAACCCTTGTGCCATCCATGACTACTGTCCGGACTTAACTCTTCTATTATCAACTCTGCTGGCAATCATATCCTCAAGTTGAGGACCTAAACCATGACATAACGCTGAAAATGACAAATCCCCCTGCGACTCCTTTGTTGTTGTTGGTGTGCAGATTAGTCCTGGACACGGGCATTGAACCTCCCGCTACAGGAGGACGATGAATGGGCATGTGCCACCTGGGAAGAAGGACTAAGCAATGGGTGCAACTTGAAATGAATTGGTAGGGTCGTGATTGGACTGCTGCTGGTGAGAACTTAGGATTTACAATCAGAAACTGTTCCGTTGCATTTGTCATAGAGGTTTTGGCTATTTTCAACTGTACAGGATATTGCCACCTTAATACTACTGAGCATCCAGATGCTTAGAGTAAGCGAAAAAATAGATATTCCCTTCCAGCAACCAGCTCTGGTGAGGACATGTACTTGAGGATAAGTCCTGCGAGTTCCAAACTTATAAATATGATTGCTTGGGCTGCGCTGTCAAAACAATCGAGATAATACAGCCGTTTATCAGAGAGCAAGAGAGTTCCTCAGAGTTATTCTGGATTGATCTGAGTTTCTCACTGTCTTCCCCCTCGGAACAACCCTTACATTTGAAATGACGTTTCACAGTCATCTAGTGATGTCCAATTTTTATTCGAATAATCGATTAATCGATTAACCAACAGAAAAGTAAAATTGTAATCGAATATATCATGCCGATAAACTTCTCCAGAGAATCATCACCCATCGTTTCAAACATGCTTTGCATTCTCATTAGTGGAAAAATGACTGCACAGCGAACAAAAAATAACCAATTATTGGAAATGACGGCTTCGGCATGACAGACTATTTTCGGCAACCCAAATTAAAAACGCTAATTTCACTGGATTTTCTTACGAACACACTTCTCTGAATGCATTCAAACGTTTCTTTAGGCTTTCAACTTCAATTTGATTACATTTTTTCACCGAGAAAAAGTAATCTAGCAGGGTTTTCTTGAAATGAAACACACGTACTTCAACATGCTGCTGATTTCGAGTTGCCGATGAAAGCACAGCCGTTTAACACGCAGCTCAAATAGAAAGGTTGCCGAATAAAAAGATGTTGCCCACAATAGTCGCTCTCACTAGAGAAGATTGGAGCTTTGTAAAAGCGTTTCAAAACAGTTTTTGATAATTCTTTCGACTGAAATTGTTAGAGCAGCTGGCAGCAAAAGATTGTAAACAAACCAATACTGCATATTTGTGCGTTCCTTAGAGAAAAAGACTATAGAAAAATGATCGCTGCTTAGGTTGCCGAGAATACGTAAATTCCCCTAGTTGTTAATCGAAATTAAAAAATGGGACATTTCTGATTTTGATGTGATTGTTTTGATAAAAAAGAGCGCTAAAATTCAACTCAACCGAGGAGTCAGCATAACCAGAAAAACACCCCGAATAGAAATTGTAATGTAGGAAACATCAGCATCAGGTACCTTGCATACGGGGGGATGAATTTGGGGAAAGGGACCATGAAAGAGGACACTAAAATTGAAAGTTTTTTTCGTCCGACTGTTTCATCTTACACGGAAACGAATCAAAAATTTAAATGTTCATTCTATAAACATATTAATCATTCAAAGTAAATTCAAAACATGTTTGCATCAAAAATATGTATTTTTTGATTAAATTCAAAAGCATGTTTATTTCAACAATATATGATTTGAGTAAATTATTTTTAGCGTGTCATGCCTTCACCTGTTTTCTTGTTTACATTCGGCAGAATTTAGCTCCTGCTATTCCTCGGAACTCAACCGAAAACGACCCGCAAGCAGCGAAAACTAAGTCATCGATCAGGAAACCCATCTAGGCAATCATCCAAATAATGTTCCAGCTCGACAAAACCAGCGGAGCCCAAGGCAAAACCCCACAATTCAACGTCACTCCATCGTTTCGCCGATCGTCATTTGACCCTCCCCCATGACATCGAAAAAAAAAAACGAAAATCCGAAATTCTGAATCTATTCCGGTTCGTCCCCCTTCCCTGTAGAAAGAAGCCGATACCGTGGAGGCATCATATTTGATCCCGGACCAGGATGCCACTACCTACAGACCACCCTTAATCAACTCCGAAAAATGGCTGGAGTTTAGATGCACCTGTCTGCAGATATTTTTTTCGAATTATTTTGTTTTAAACGCTGTACAGACTGGAGAGTTATAACATGTTATAACGGTTGTCAAATAATTGCAACACAGAAACCACCATCAAGATAGCGCTATAACATGTTATAACTCTGTAGTCTGAACGTACTATAAAATAATTTAAAAGTATGTATGTTTGTTTTAAAAATGAACAGCATGTTTAAAATAATCATATTTATTTTTGTTCCCATATTGACAACTCATACAAAAATATTTAAGTTTATTTTCAACACGAATATTTTTAAAATAAACGTAGCATTATTTTTATTTTAAACATCGATATCACATGACTTTTAACATGGAATACGTTTGAAATGAACCTATTTTTATTTTTGTAGCCAGAACAAACAGAGTTTACGTTTAAATTTACCTCAAATATGTTTGTTTCGACAATAGATTTTTCTGCGTGTAGCATTCTTTTTTGGTCACACTGGATTCCAAAGTTATTTTTGCTTCGTTTGAAATGAAGTCACCTTCTTTTATAGCCTACAAATGTTTCAATGGATGTCCAACTAAATGTTACAACTCAGTAAGATAAAAGTAATATCAGATAATGTTAGAAATTCTCGAGACCCTCAATATTGAACAGAAATAAATAATCTTTAATAATAATTTCATCGGCCTTTAAAAAAAAAATCGAATATCTCCCAGCTCTACTTTAGTTGGCTCAAATCAGTGGTGTCGGCACATTCGGACGATACCCCTTTTGGGAAGAATAATTTTTGACGTGACACTTTTCTGACGCTTCTCGCGACGAATCCGCGGAGTCTTCTTCTTTCGTTTCTGAGTGACTTTTCCACCAAAAAAGCATCATCCATCCCATCCGCAGCGAGCTCCTGCACCGATCAGGAACCATTCTCATCCATCCGCAGGTTTGGCCGTAGCGGAAGAAAACAGGAATATCGAAGCAACGTTAATCATCGTTCGTGCCCCCCAAAAGAGGAAGCAACCAATGGCAAACGTCGGAAGTGAGTAGATTGTTCCGTTTCGGGTGCGGGAAAAGAGGGAGTGTTTGTGTGTGGTGCGATCGAACATTTTTGTTTGTTTGGAATTTGCTGATGGCTGGTGGGGATTGTAGGGAAAATTTTGCATTTTCCCCGTGCCGTGGGGTGGGAGTGAATGAGGAAAGGAAAAGTAATGGGTTTTTCTTCTTTGTTCTACGTAGGGGACAACATGCTAAACGAGGAACAGGAATCGTCGCAATCGAACAGCTCGAATGGTTCCGGAGCGCTTCAGCAGCAGCACTCGAGCGGAGGTGGTTTTCAGTTGAAATCGAGCATCCTTCGACAGCCTGCGACGTTCGGATCGGGGGCTGGTGCCGGAGGAGGATTCGGAGGAATGTTTGGTGGTAGTTCCATTGCCGGATCTTCCGGGCCAATCAACAGTTTCAATATGAAACCAAGCGTGCTGAAGCCGTCACATTTCGGAGGTGGCTTCGGAAGTTTCGGCGCACAGAAGAAAGACGAAGATCAGACAAACAGCAATAGCTTTGGGGCGAATCCATTCTTAAAGACGCAGGTCAGCGAGGACGACGGATCGCAACCGAAGAAAGAGGATGACAAAACGGACAAGGAGGAGAATGTGGATCCGTTGGCGAAGCTGAACCGAGGCACACTTCCCAAGTCGAATCTGTTTGCTAACGTGAAGGCCATTACCCAGAACACGGGCTTCGTGTTTGGACAGAACGTTCACGAGCGGGTTACAGGGGAGAACCTCCAATCGGATTCGGGATCGGTCGCGACGGCTGGACTGTCCTTCTCGAGTACTGTCGCTACCACAAATAGTAATGATTCCTCGTCGTCAAATCCGGCTGCTGTTGGTGGCGGCACTGCTGCTGCCGCCGGGGGAAGTGGAACGGTGGCAACGGGCGCAGCAGGTGGTAGCAAATCGGAAGGAGGGGACGAAAGTCTGGAAGAGGCAGCTCGGCGGTACGAGGAAAGCCGCGGTGCTCTGAAGAGGAAGTTTGATGAGGTGGAAACGCTTACGGGGGAGGAGGACGAGCGGAACGTGGTGGAGGCCAATTGTAAACTTTTCGCATTCGCCAAGAGCAACTGGGAGGAACGAGGCCATGGCACCGTGCGGCTTAATGATAACGATAGTAAAGAATCGAGGGTTGTCTTCCGGCAGGCGGGCAATCTCCGGGTGGTCATCAATACAAAGGTGGGAAATGGTCTTACCTTCGGAAGGTTAAAGTCTAATTTTGCTCTTTTTTCAGGTCTGGTCCGGTATGACTGCAGAGCACTCCAGCCCGAAGAGCCTGCGTCTCACCGCCATGGACAACAACGGTCAGGTGAAGGTCTTCCTTTTAATGGTAAGTGTCTTCCTTTTGCCCTTTTCTTCAGAGAGTAAACTTTTCTTATCGTTTAATCCCCCTTATCGTCGCAGACCCGTCCCGATGTGATCGGTAAGCTGCACAAAGAGCTAACCAAGCGTATCCAGGTGGCGAAGGAGCATGCCGACGAGGAATCGCTGTTGCAGGACGACGAAGCCGGCAAGGAGAACAACAACGATAATGCTGCTGCAGCCAATGCCACCAAACCGATCGAATGCGAAGATGCTCCGGGGACGGACAGTACGGTCAAGGAAGGGGACTCCGATGAACCTTGCACGAAAAAACGACTCAGTTCGTCGTCTTAAGCAAGGAAAAAAAAAAACCAGCGCATAAGATTATCATCAACTCTTAACTATCTATTCTAATTCTACCCAACTAAAACTCCCCACATCGAAATTTGATCCATTATTGCTGCTTAGATTTCTCCTACGATTCCTATTCGATAACTTTTGAAAGTGAAAATTAAGCTACGAGTTCGAAAGTATTCCACTAAATTTCATTTTCCTCGTTTACTATTTTAATGTGTACTGGAAAAAAAAACCAAGCTGGTCTAGATGTTGAAATTATCGAGTGAACACAGGATTTCACCAGGATGGTGGTGATTGCAAAGAATCTTACAATTCGCGTACGACGACAGTAGTTATGGAAGCAATTATCGTTCTCAGATTTGTCCTCTCTGTCAAATGCGATAAAAAAAAATTAAACCAACAAGCTCCCTTACCAATAGGGCGGCAGCTTATCGCGTTCTTATGCCGACCACATTGTGTGGTTGATTAGAAATAATGCTGACTTCTTCGATCGTATCCCTTGATGATGCGGTTTTCAATTCAATAAACATTGTCGTACTCGTCGAAAATTGTAGTAGTTCATGTTTGTGTAAAAAAAAACCGATCAAATTCAGTGAAATAAACAGATGAAAAATGTGGAATGAAAAATAAATCGACGCTGTTTGGAACTATTAGCGCTGAAGGTAATTGTGAAATTTTTATAACATGTCTATTTCGCTAAATGCGATTAATTTATCGGAAAAGAAAATTGCATCCAGCGTGCAGGTCAGGCCTAACTGCGATGATCGAATTTCTCTTCGCAGCTACCACAGTTACTGTAAACATTTCAAAAAAGTTCTATCTGCATTGATTGATTCTCTTCATCGACTTTCTCTTTCGCTAATAACTCAGTTGCAAAACCTTTCCCTGTTGTATTTGACGTTTTTGGCGCTAGATAAGATACTGATTTATCAGACTATGTGGTAAAAATTACATAAAATCTGTTTGCATACCATAATAAAAAAATACATATCCGAACGATAACCCAAATGATCGAACTATTCCACAAATGGTTTGTATGATACTCTGAACACGTCGTTAAGCAAAATAACCATACAAATTTTATTAGGGTAGCAGTGGTTATCAGAAGAAAATCGATCAAAGCAGATAGGACCTTTTGAAATGTTCATCGAGCAGTTAAGTGTTTCCGAAATTGTTCCAGTACAGTGTAGTAAAAGCATCATTCAACGCACCGAAAAATGTTAAACAAGCCGAGTTATTAAGAAAAGAGAAACCCGATGAAGAGAATCGACCAGAAAAGCGAGATTCTGTTAGCTTTATTTGCTGTCAAATTGACATTTGAGCAATTTTTAGTTTACACGGCGTGCAGATTAGCGGGGTTCAAACTAAACAGTGTTCAGATTAAAAACGGTCAGATCACCGGGGGTCCACGGTCCGGGGGTAAGTCACTCTGCCACCTTGTGACCACCGACAGGGTGTTTATGTGTCGAACGAGCTGTCAAAACGTTAAGCGGCACAACACAATGTTTAGTGGCAACCATGATTTCCACAACGCTGAAAATGACAGATCCATCTACGATCGTAGTTGTTTATTGGCGTTGACGGGGACTCTGTAGCTCTTTACTCCTATGGTAAAATCACAGACAAACAGACGTAACTCTTTTAAAAAGTTTTTCTTGAAAACATAGTATCTCAAAACATAGGACCTCAGTAACGACATCTCTCGGGCTTCTCGCGGAAAACAAGCTTGCTCGTTAACTCGCAAACAATATTGCAAGAGCAAATTTTCATTATGTCGTAAGTAACATTCGCACCAATCCGAGAAAAATAAAGTTTTGTTTTGATGATCGAAAAGTTATTCCTATTTTCAATTAAACTCGTATAATCTCATAGTGATAGCAATGTTTAACATATATAGCAGGGTTCTAATCATACAAATGCAATTCGCTAGCTTTCATGTTAAAAAATACTGGTTTTTAAATCAAAAGTTATTATACGTCGTTTGGTGGCCCCTATTGTTACTTAAGTCAAAGTGTATTTACCAGGATATTCGGGAGAATTATCAATTACATCTCCTTACGTGCAGCCCATTCATCATTTTAGGACCACCGAAATCATCTTAGCAACAAACAGTTCGATTTATTCACTTTAATAATGAGAAAGCGAAACGACGAACGTACACTTTTCACGGGTTTCTCAGCGCTGTTACTTAAGTCAAACTGCATCTCCATAGAAATCGGGTGACTTAAGTAACATCGAAAACTTTTTTGATCGGAAGGTGATTACGTCAAAAAGCAATTCGACTGGTAAATAAATTTAAAAATGGGATGTGATCCTATATTCGGACAGTATATAGTGTAATAGCAGGAGCATCAATTGACACTGATAGCTCGACTTTGTTTACCTTTGTTACATTCGACGTAATGAAAATTTGCTCTTGATTGTATAAAAGTTCTATAGAATGTATAGAAACGTCAAAGTGATCCGATGCTAGTGCTGCGGCGAGTAGTTCGCGGAACTTATAATATTCAAATCAACCGTTAAATGCGTGGACGAAGATACACAATGAAATGTTACGTCTGTTTGTCTGTGGTAAAATTCAATAAGCAAACGTCAGACTGTAAGAGATACATGGTGGACTGTGTACTAACCATGGACCCAAAGGTCAGGACCAATAGCGTGGAAGGAATTTATCGAAAAATCATGGTTCTCGGTAATATGAATGGAAGTGCACGCAGTAGTAGCAACAATCAATACGAAGCTAACGATTTTAAATTGGCTCACCACTTTAGTAGCCTATTGGTCCCAAGCAAACGATTAACGTACCCTATTCTAGTCGAAATTCTAGTACTACGCAATGTTTGTTTTGATTCGCTATGAAAGTTTGACAGATAAAATGAGGGGTTATTGGTTTTTCCTATGATTCGAGGGGTGATTCGCCACGCTTGGGACCGAAGATAGTACTAGAGGTGAGCCAAAAAGTTGAGCACGTTTCTTCGGGACCTACTTGTCTTAGAGTTACCTCTATGGTAGTAGCGTAGTAGGTTTTTTAGATTTGTGGGCAGTTATATTTTTGAGTGCATGGGGGAATGCTGTCAACAATGCTGTCGGTTTGTTTACCAACAATAGCTGACGGTTTGTTTTAACCTAACTTTTTTCCTAACCTGAACTTCAGAACTAGGATTAATGTCATTGTTGATGTTGATCAAAATGGAATCAGTTTTATCACTTAATTGTTGGAGGTCCAACTAGAAATCATGCAAGGCGGACCCAGGTACGATCCTTGTGTAGCGAGGACCGAATGGACCAGATCCCGCCAGTCAGATGATTGTCCGCGGGAAGATTGTTCAAAGGAGGATTGTCCGCATGAGGATTGTTTGAAGGAGAATTGTCTGCTACCGACGAGTCAAGGAGTACGTGGAGGAAGAAGATTATCCGGAACTCTGAAGCTCTTTATATGTTCCAGAGGGAAAGATACATTCGGATGCATCCTGTATCCCCATCAAATTTATCCATGAAATTCTGCTTATATATCCAGAACATCAGTCAGAACTTTTTTCTCCAGACATCCTTATTCGATTTTTTTTATGTATTTTTCAGTATATCCTGAATATCCCTGTTGATCCTTCTGTCTATTCCGAAAATTCTTTCAATTCCGCTCGCATGCTGTCACAGTGTTGCCATATCTTTTTTGAAGCAACATGCATCAGAATGAGTGTCGTTCCCCAACGTTTTCCTTGAACGTCATTGATTGTCTCTGAAGATCTTTCCTGGAACTATCTTCCTGCGGACAATCGTCCAGTGGACAATCTTCCTCTGATCAATCTTCCTGCGGACCAGTGTTGGAAAAGTTCGCGATATTTCACGAAGTTCACCAAGGGAAAAGTTCGCGAGTCATAGGGAACTTTGATGAACTTTTCCATCACTGCTGTGGACAATTCTCTTCCTCCAAATAATCTTCGTGCGGACAATTCTCTTTCGAACAATCCTTCTGCGGACAACCCTCTTTCGAACAATCTTCCTGTGGACAATCCTCCTACGGACAATCCTCTTCCGAACTATCTTCCTGCGGACAATCGTCCTGTGGACAATCTTCTTCTGAACAATCTTCCTGCGGACAATCCTCCTTCGAACAATCCTCCTGCGGACAATCCTCCTCCAAACAATCTTCCTGCGGACAATCCTTCTTCGAACAATCCTCTTTCGAACAATCCTCCCGCGGACAATCCTCTTCCTCCGGATAATCTTTCTCCTCGAGTCGTCGGTAGCGGACAATATTCCTGCGGACAATCCTACTGATAATTCTCCTTCGAACAATCCTCCTCCGAACAATCTTCCTGAGGACAATTCCCCTTCGTACAATCTTCTCCCGAACAATCTTCTTGCGGACAATCCTCCTCCGAACAATCCTTCGAACAACCTTCTCCCGAGCAAACTTCCTGTGGACAATCCTCCTTTGAACAATCTTCCTGCGGACAATCCTTATTCGAACAATCTTCCTGGGTACAATCGTTCTTCGAGCAATCCTCCTGCGGACAATCCTCCTGGGGACAATCCAAATATATGATGTTCAAGGGCCCTGGATCTAATGAACTATTAGATTAGATAATTAACTATTTTAACTAGTTCCGCTTTTTTTTTGTTAGCATCCATGCCTCTCACGCCAAAGTCACGAGTTCAAATCTCAAAATGGCGAAACAAAAAGAAACGTGATAAGGGATATGACACACCTCAATCTGACTGCCACGGCAGCGGGTACCGCGCTTTTTTTTGCAGGCGCTTTTGCTGGCAGTTGTGCCATAGAGGTAACTCTAGGACCACTGGGTCCCGAAGAAAATCATTATTATTTTTGGCTCACTCAGTACCAGAACAACGGTCCAAGCAGTCCCAAGCTATTTCACTCACCCCTGCATGTTCTGCATGAATCCACACACCCCTGATGTTATCTGTCAAACTTTCATAGCGAATCAAAACAAACATAGTGCAGTAATAGAATTTCAACTAGAATAGGGTACGTTAATCGTTTGCTTGGGACCAATAGGCTACTAAAGTGGTGAGCCAATTTAAAATCGTTAGTTTCGTATTGATTGTTGGTTGTGCTGTCTGTGTCACTTTTGACACCTGTTCTGGTACAAATTGCTGTCTTTTGCTCTAGTACCCGGGTGCACCAGGTACACTAAAAAAAACAGCTAGGTGAACCAAAAAAAAAAAAATCGCGTGAAGGAGGTCCTTACCCTTTGGGTCCATGGTACTAACAACCGGTGGAAACAAACGATTTTAAATTGGCTCACTTTTTGACTAGCCTATTGGTCCCAAGCAAACGATTAACGTTCCCCATTCTAGTCGAAATTCTAGTACTACACTATGTTTGTTTTGATTCGCTATGAAAGTTTGACAGATAAAATGAGGGGTTAGTGGATTTTCCTATCTTTCGAGGGTGAATCGATTAGCTTGGGACCGTTGTTCTGGTACTGAGTGAGCCAAAAATAATAATGATTTTCTTCGGGACCCAGTGGTCTTAGAGTTACCTCTATGGTCGTGCTCCCAGCAGTAATAGATTGTGATCGCTTCTCCAAATGGGAGCGCATGCATCGAGCAATGGCGTACGTGCACCGATACGTGGGAGCATTGAAAC